CGCGTCCTGGCCAGGATTTCTATATTGCCTAAAATATCTAGGTTTTGGCTTTGTTTGCGTGTGCAGACCGATCGGTGTATAACATCAAAATACCTCGAGAGCATTTTGAAAGCATAAGGAACCGTCTGTATGGTATTTTGATGTCAAACACCGATCGGTCTGCACACGCAAACAAAGCCAAAACCTAGATATTTTAGGCAATATAGAAATCCAGGCCAGGACGCGTCCTGGGAAAATGGCACGTATGGTCACCCTAAGTTAGTCAGCAGGTCATGTGATCTCAAGATAGCTGCCACCATGAGGGGAGAACCCACTTATATGACTAGAGTCTTCATCTTATTTGAGTGTGTAGAATTTTAAAGAAACTTGTTAAAAGTACAGTAAGGTTTGTTTAGGAGTAAATCTTTTTTGCGGAGTGAAAAGATATGTATATATAAAAAATATCTATTGCAATTTTAAGCCTGTTTACATGTGTTTTGTCTAAATCCAAAGTATTGTTTTTCTGCTTTAAATGTTCTCACCCTCCGTTATGTCCTCCAAGGCTTTCCGCACACCTCTGTCAAAGGCACGGGCATCGGCGGGGCTCTGGAACGTCAGGCCGCATTTTTTGTTGTCGACCTTCCAGTGGTGAAAAGTGGGCGTGGCCTTGGTGTAGATCAGATCTTTCCTCACGAAACATTCCAAAATCACCTGCCAGCCAAAACAAGTGAGACATATCAGAGACAAGCCCACAGCCTGCCGCTGCTCTGCTCTGCGAGAGGTCACTGCCTGAGAAAAGTCTTGCAAATCACATAACAAATGGGTTCGTAACCAGATTTGTCTTGGAAAAGAACCCAGCATGCAAAACTCCCCCGGCTTGTAAATCAACTTGATTTCCTAAAAGCCCCTGGGGAGGAAGATTGTGAATATTCGTGCCACACCTGCTTGTCTTTGAGGCGCTCGCCGTGGATGAGGAAGTCGCTGTGGCCGGTCAGCTCAGCAGGCATCACCTTACAGACACCCACCCTGCTGAGGCCCCCACCTTCCTGTGCCAGCCATCCCCCACTCGAGTCATCTCGGGTCATGACCACCGCTTTGACACGCACAATGTAACTGTCACTAAGAGACAGAGAGGGACAGAGAGAGTTTAATTTTGAAAGACACACGAGTGGGACATAATCCAAATTAGGGCTGGGCCATATATCTAACATTTGCTATGTATCTGCAACAATTTTGCTGGTGATAAAAGAATACACTGTAAAAATTATGACCATTTTAATGCCATTTATTACCATAAAGTTTCTTAAAGACTAGTTTTAAGATGTTTTTCTCTTTTAAAGAGGTTGTTCGCCCAAAAATGAAAATTCTGTGATCATTTACTCACCCTCAAGTTGTTGCAAACATGAATTTCTTTCAGCCGTTTCAAGACATTTTGAAGAATGTTTGTAAGCATTGGCTGAAGCCATTGACTTCCATAGAATGGAAAAAATACTATGGAAGTCAATGGCTACCAGCAACTGTTTGCTAACCAACATTCTTCAGAATATCTTCTTTTGTGTTCAACAACACAGGTTTGGAACAAGTGGAAGGTGAGTAAATAATAACAGAATTTTCATTTTTGGGTGAACTACCCCTTTTTAATATTGTCTCTTATTTAAATTTCAGTAGCAGATAAATAGTAAAGTAGTGCACATTTTGGAAAATACTGTCTTTATGAACTTTTATGTTGGATTAAATATTCTTACTTACCCACAAAATGAAAAACTGTCTTCAAAACAAGCCTCAATTAATTTTAGCTAGGGTGTTTTACTGTATTTTATCTCTTATAGTGAAATATTTTTAAAATTTTAAATAACCGTTTTCTCTTTTAAAATAATTTTTAAAAGTCATTTATTCCTGTGAAGTCAAAGCTGAATTTACAGCATCGTTCAGTGTCACATGATCCTTCAGAAATCATTCTAATATGCTGATTTGATGCTCAAGAAACATTTATTATTATCATCACCGTTGAAAATATTTGTGATGCTTGATAATTTTGTGGAGTTACTTATTTCTCGGGTTTCTTTGATAAATTGAAAGTTCAAAAGAACAGCATTTGTTTAAAACAGAAATCTTTTGCAACATTATGAATTGTTTTACTTTTGATCAATTTAATGCTTTCTTGCTGAAAAAAAGTATTAATTTCTTTCAAACTTTCTGACACTAAACGTTTGAATGGTAGTGCAATTTCAATAAATACTCTTTTTTTTTTTTTTTTAATTACTGGAATACATTTCATTTCAATAAATAAAATATCTTATTTTAGCCACACTGGCCAGCTGTACTTTAAATCCAGCTGTGTATTTTCCATTCATCTGTGGCTTTACACAGTCCTGTCAGACATAGCAATGAAGAAATCAAGCATCAACACCTCAGGCCAAACAAGACGGCCTGTCAGTAAGAAACTCACAATATTCACAGTGTTACACATGGCCAGAGGACAAGAAAGCAAAATTAAAATCAATTAAAAAAAAGTCATCCCTAGATGCATCTGCACTCAGACTAGTCCAGAGCTCGAGCCAGGTTTACATTCAAACTAACTCAACCGTTCTTCCTCTGTAGTGCGGTGAAAGCCAGCAGTCAGCCTTATATGGTAACCTGAGCTGCCGTGTTCAATAATTAACCAGAGCAGGATAGCGGACGGGCGAGGAGGTGAGGGCACGTCTCAAGAGCAACGAAATCAATAGCCTGAGCCAGAGGAAGGAAAGGGTCTCGTGTACGTGTGTGAACGCTCACACTCTACATTAAGCCCTCAAACTTCTGACTCATAAATAACCAGTAGGAAAGAAAAGCCACTTTTTAAGATCTCAAATGTTTCCCACGAGATAGCAGTGAGATGTAGAGCAAATGAAAACTTCTTAGCTCTCAGACATGCCTCCTCTAGGATTTCAGAAGAGATCTCAACAATGTCTCAAACTGTGCTCAGACAGTAGACAGTATAGAGGAGGAGGAAATGACTGGGAGAAACCACAACACTCAATATAGTAAAGGCCTATCAGTTAAAAGAGCCAATCAGTAAATGCAGCATTCTGCATGCACAGCCAATAATTATGACTTAGCCAATGATTAGTTTCCCATTCAAATAGACAGGAGCTACAGCAAGACTACGGGTTAGGCAAAAAACTGTGTGGCCACGATGGCCGCCAAGTGAATTGACTCGCCTTGAAGGAAATTTGACTCTGATTTGCCAAGTCTGCAAGAAAAAGTCCAAGATTTCAGTATAAAATCAAACATTTCTTATTCGGTTCTTCACAGACCAAATGATCTGTGAAATGCTTCCACATCCATTTTATTATACCTTCACAAAAAAAAGAGGTTTATTCAATTGTATTATTAGTATACATATTTTAAACTAAAAATGAGAGTGTATACTTATCAGTCTTTATCAGAGATATGCTTAACATTATACTTGGCTTAGTTATACTGACATGTATACAGAAAAGAAGAATGTTTGGCCTATACTTGTACTTAATCTTAATTGAGATATTTAAAGGGATAGTTCATCTAAGTCATCTTATTTACCCTCAAGTTGTGTCAAACCTGTATGAGTTTCTTTCTTCTGAACATGAAAGAATATATATTGAAGAATGTTGGTAACCAAACAGTTGTTGGTACCCACTGACTAGTATAGAAAAAATACTATGGAAGTCAATGGCTACCGTCAACTATTTGGTTATCAACATTTTGCAATATATGTGTTCAACAGAAGAAATTCATGCAGGTTTGGAACAAGAGGAGGGCGAGTAAATGATGACTTTTTGTTTTTGGGTGAACTCTCCCTTTAAGAAAAGAATAATCTAGTATTCTAAGTATACCTGGCTTGTAGTTGTGCTGATAGAGAAACTGTTTAATTACTATTTTTGGCTTCTTTTATGCAGCACGTTATATCTGATAAACTTACATGCTTATAAGTTACAAGTTAAGAACAAGAACAAGTATAAAAACAAGTAAGTTTAGAGTAAATAGTACATGGGTGGAACTGAATTGGGTCTTTTTTGCACTACAGCTCTATTAACCTACACAGAAACAGATAAACATTTGACTGATTTTACGGACAATTCCTCCACAGTGTAAGTAAACAATATGCATGATTGTTCAGTTCAACCGAAGAAATCTTACAACTTTTAAACTAGTAGCTTACTGAAAGTATAACATACAGATCACTTGTAGTATTTATTGTTCATTAGATCATAGTTAGAAAACTTAGATGTAAATAAGTCAACTCAAAGTCATTGTTACACTTAAAGTACACTTAAAAGTATACTTTTATAAACCAAAATGTGGGTCAGTTTAGTCCCAATAAGTATTGGAATACTTAAAAGTATACTATACTAGAACACTGATTTTAACATACTTACATGAAGTAAACTTAAAAAAAATATTTTAGATTAGTTAAAACTTAAAAATACTCCTACTGTAAGACAACCAATTAAATCATTTGTTTCTATTTTCATGACTTCTATGACCGAGTCTAAGAAAAAGCTCATGTTTAAATGAAACATCCTGAAACTAGAGCAGCCTTTAAGCAATAAAACGCTCCTCTGGGATGCTTTGAAAAGCGCAATCCAAAAAGAACAATCCAAGCAGATTCTGTCTAATGAAAGAGAATACGACATGATCTACAAAACACAGAGCCATGGCATAGACCGCAGCAGCCATATGAGCGGGTATTACCATCATCCATTTGTAATTATTATACACAGTGACTGGCCCAGGGCCTGTGTAGATGTGGCTCCTCTAGTGGAAAGAAACAGAGAAATGCTGTCTGTGGGATTAGAATTAATGAGGGAGGAAGTCCTGTGGGAGCAGCACCGTCTAATGTACTTACACTAAGAGAGCCAGGCCAAGGGATTGTCTCTGTGCCAGAGTCATTCAATATCAGCGGCTAATTAAAATCAAATCAAATGTAACTCCTAATAAAACTAGGTGTTTTTCATAATTGACCAAGCGGAGGGCTGGCGATTCCTCTGTAAGCTGCAGCTGTCGGTGCGATTCACAGTTTCACACCACACGTCCTTCATGTCCCGTCGGGTGTCTGGGGTACTGGGGACCAAAAGGTGTCAAACTATACCTGAACAGACACATGGGGATCTTGCCCGATCAAAGCACACAGGGTGCGGATTTGATATAGATTTGTAATCTTTCAAGAACTTGTCAAGGTCATATTTCAGCTCAAAACCATAATAAAAATGTATGTATAATATAACAGCATTGTTTTAGTATTATTTAAATACTATTATAGTATTTCATATTTAAATAAATATTTTAAATAATATTTTTAAATGAAACTTATATTCTTATATTTTCAGTTTTCATTAAATTTTACATTTTCATCTAAATTTTAGTCTAGATTTGTCATCTAATCCATATTTTATTTTATTTTCTATTTTTTTAGATTTAGTTACAGTATTAACACTGATGTATCATATCAAATTAAGATTTTTTTAATGACAATTAAACGCATTTTTACTTGTAAAGCAAATAGTTTTTTAATTGGAAAGTATTTCTATATAATCATGGTTATATTGATGTAATTCTCTTTATATATATATATATATATATATATATATATTAGTTAGTTATTTTATTGGGGGGCTTAATTGGCATGGAAATAATGACAATAATAATGACATAGTAGTGGTCCTAAAAAATAACATTTTTATTTTAGGCAACATATAATTCTGCTGGTGAAGACCTAGAAATGTATAGCAAAACAAAACAAAACAATAAAGGTACTAGTAAATTCTATCTTTTGCACAATATTTAATGATATTATGCAATAAATAATTAAAACCAGAGAAAAAACAATAAACCAATAAATAATTAAAACCAGAAAACAAATGATTATTAATAATTTTCAGGGCTGGTGTTTTTAGAGCAAACATAAAGGAAAACTACCATGTCCGTTATACCAAAATGTCCAATATCAGTCAGTTACTCGACTGGTGCATATATATATTGATTAAAAGCATTGCTAATATTACCGATAAGCTCTCTCACGACAGATCTAAAAGAGGACGCATGATAAAACCTGGATGTTAAACGCAGAAAGGCGAGTGAAAATGTCACTGAAGTATGTG